AAATACACATCTCAACTAATTAGCATCATCTACATCTGTAGCATCATTAGACTCATTGACATTATCACAATGCTGCTGGATACGTCTGACTCTTTTCTAAAGATATTCAACCGTAACCCGAAGTGTAGTAAACTTTGTTGTATGATGCACAATAGTGGATCTCAGCTACATAATCTCAGTCATCATACGAGCCTATGGCTCAATCATCATAGACATCTATTCTATGAGAGCCACCGAAGGATAAATGGGAACAGAAGTAAGTTAAGTAATAGGATTAGTAGACGGTGGCAGAATAGGAGCAAATGTAGAAGAAGATAAAATAGTCCAATTAGGAAAACTAGTCCCAAGACTCATCACACAGCGATGAATCAAACAGGCGTATAGAAGACCAATCTTCATGCCAATTACACTAAGATACGCATTATATGATGGTAGATGAAAGAATGAAGGTCTATAAAGTTACCATTCAAAAGTGTATATAAAAATCTAGCCTTATTAAGGGGGTAGCAAAGAGGTATGTGAAATTGAACACAAATTTGTGCACATAATGCACAACAAAACTTATTGGTCAGTTGGAAGGAATACAGTACGAATCGCACTCGGACCCCCTTCCGAAAGGCTATTAAAGAGAGTTGATCTGATAAGATAATCAGAATGAAGTGTCTCAATAGACCAATAGGGAAATAAAGGACAAATAACCTGGGGAATGTGAATAATAGTAGATACAACGTCAGGATTGATCTCCAGTGTCTTACCCTAAAGAAAGACCTTAAAACTTGACACACTGATATTATGAATATTAGCATAGAACTTCTAGACAAGGAGACTATGTGGGAAAGACAACTCAACAAGTAAATGCTCCCATCAACATGAAGTAAAGATGGCAGCAAGGTCGAGAGTAAGATCGAAGAGAATTACCTTCACTCTACGAAAATGGGGTGCAAGGAAAGTTGAGACTGAAAGACATCTTGGGTAGTAGAGGAGATGAATCTAAATCTACTGTCAAAAGTCGAAGCAGTAGATGTCTGTGTGGTAGTCTTCGCTCTCTTAGGCAGCATATGTGATAAGTTTGTAATGTAAACACATCAATAGATGCAATTATGGATATTGTATACCTCGATGAAAACTAGCAAATGACATGCATGGATGCATATGAAACAAGGAAAATAATCAGTATGCATGTTAAACTGTGTAAAAATCGTTCATATACACCTAAATGGAGACAAACATGTCATACGCACGTAAATTGATGCAAAATTGTCCAATGCACAAAAATGATGCAAAAACATGCCATGATCACATAAAAAGATGAAAATTCAAGTTAGACAACCAAAGGAAGTAGGTGACTAATTAAGTGACGCGAGTTATGGCCGAAGGCCATGTGATGCATGGACGGAGGCTACATAGTGCCTTGATGTCGTAACATAGTGTTTGAACTTGTGTTCACTTTACACACATTGCAAACTAATCCAGTTGTGCGACTGCCAACGAAAATGAGTTCTGAACATGATGTTTGTAAACCATTATTTCCAAAAACTCAACAAAAATCCTATTTTGACAATTTGTCAAACATATGATGTGCGTTCATGAAGAGAACGGTGCAAATCACAAGTAGTTAATGGGAAATCGACCAATGCACATCACACGACAACTTCAGCATCTCTATCATATACCATACTCCTAAAACTAAGTGAAATTGAAGAAATTAGCTCAAAATATTGAGAACCCTAATTTTCAGAGTTTAGGAAAATCTTGGCACAATTCATCAAATTGGATGCAATAACTCTTGTAAATGCATAAAGCATAGCTAACCCATCGAATAATATGCATGAATAACCAACTAACTACAAGTAAAAACAAAAAACCAACGAAAGTTCACGAGTTAAAGAAAAACATGGTTTTTTTTTTTTTTTTTTTTTGTAAATTTACCATTGAATTTGTTGAAATTTGATGTTAAATGATGCAATGACCTTCAAAGGTTGAAATAAAAATTGATCCTAAGTTCACGGGATAATCCTCTATCATCACATTACTTGTCCCAACCAAAGTGAATAATGTGTGTCCACCAAACAAAAGTGATAGAAGTGGCTCTCTTACACTCCATCTGCTCAAGGTCTTTACAGAAGAAATATTACAACATTTAATCACATCTCCACTCATAATC